CCTTGTTCATTTCTTCAGCGACAGAATCAATTTAACCAACCCGTTTATTTATTGATAATTAATTACCGCGTAATGTACAGGGGTTATTTTAGTACTTAATTGATTATAATAAAAATAAGTTTTTTTTCCCTCCGCTCATTTCCTTTAGTTCAGTCTTTCTAATGGATTGGCCTCACTGATATTTTTGTCTCCTTTATTTCTCTCAACTTATTATTCCCAGCGAGTTAATACTTTCGGAAATTTTAAATCCTCATCTCCCAGTCCTGAATCCCTAAATTATCGACACCGGACACGATCAATTAATACCAGATCGAGTATTAATACGTATATTATATTTAGTTAATTAGTATTAGAGTTTATGGTTATATTAATAATTATTAACTAATAGTGATAATCCTATATTAGCTTTAATAATATAGGCGTAATATGATCATTATATTATTATAACTACTCTGAATTAATTTATCGCGGATTGTTGCTACTGTCAATTTACTCAACGTTGTTGCTTAACATTTTAGACGGAGTTGCAAAAAAAATGAATGGGATTATAATATAGGGATTATTATATTTTATTATAAATAAAATTTGTTTGTTTTTCTTCTTTTCTTTCCAAGATTTTAGGGTTTTGGGAAATTGGGTTTTGACGAGGTGACTCCGTGCCAATCAAGCTGCTCTTTTGTTATCCGCACCCCTTTGATCAATTAATCAAGATAAACGCGATTCGGAGGTTTTCTCGATTTTCTCTTGTTCCGTGAGGATTAGCGGCGCGGTAACCAGTGCAATAGATCCTCCGTAGGTCCTTCATGCCTTTTCTGATCTTTGTGGATAAGACCTCCTTTAGACCTACTTGATCCTACTTAAGGCCTACATAGCTGAAATTACGTGGAACAATTAGTGGGTCATTCTTGAACCTGTTTAGACGATTAGACATCTTTTTGGGACATTTCCATGGAGATTTGTCCGCCAAACTCCCACTTTTCGCCAACATCGTGTAGGAGAAGTGCTATCCCAGTAAACCTTAACTGATCTAGAAACGTAACGGGATACTGGATGCTGGGATCTCCTTTTCTCAAAACCTTGTCTTATAGATCTTAGCGTTTTTAGGGTTTCCTTACCATTCTAAATAGCCAGAGATAAACCCTCTCTAGCTTATTCGAGCATTCTATCGGCAACGCGGGCTTACCCCTTTCTTTCCTGACGGAAAGGAATCACTCGAGTGAACCCGCGGCCTCATCGAGCTCATAGTATCGCGTTAGTCGATCCACCCTCCAATAACGATACTTCCATCTCTTTTTCCTCGCGTCTGCAGATTGCTATTAGCCTTCTTTAGGCCCTAGACAGCCCGAGCCGTGACTAAACACCGATATTTATCCAGAAAAAGATTCTTTTCGCTATTTCATATCAATTGTTAAGTTGTAGGCTAATATTGAGTACCCTTATTTTTCATTTTTTGCTTGCTACAAGCTCTAGACAATATACGCTTTTCCCGTTCCTCCTGCTTCTCTGCATGCCATCCTTATTCGTTTAAGCATACATTTGTAAGTAGCTCCCTTGCGCACAACCCGCTTTACTACTGAAATAGCCGGCTCCCTCTAAAGTAAGGAAATAAACTTCAGCGATCAGGAACACGAACATGGGGCTGCCAGCCAGGACCGAGATCCCCTGGCACGCAGGATCAATGGCATGAGACGACTCTTAACACCACGAGCTCCATCGAGAGGTCATACTTTCCGGCGAAAGATTTCGCCTCCTCTCTCCCGGAGTTCTACGGAGATGGTCGTCCACCTACATACGAGGAGTTTGATAAAGCGCTTACCCGATAACTTTATATGGTTCCCGGTCAAAACCAAGAAAGTTACGTTGCCCATGTTCTTAACCGTATTCATGGGCCCGCGCGCCGATATCTAGAAGATCAGAACTTGACCTCAGTGCAGCAAATCTTGGACACACTGTGAAAAAAGTATCGCCCCAGGGACCAGATCGGTTTCCTCATGAATAAGATCCATCGCCTGCGGCGAGGAAGGGAGGAGTCCGTTGAGGACTTCTACTATCAAATTAAGGACATCCTCACATCTTTTGAGTCGGTCATGGGCGACAGCCAAGATAATCGTGCTCTTTTTCGCCGACTCTCTAAAGATGCTGTTAAAGTCCTATTCTACAACCTTCCTGAAGCCCTCCGGATTTCCATTAATCAATGTGTAGAGCTCCATGAGCTAACACTCGACGACTTCTATAAGCGTGTGCGCCGTGGGACTTACGCGCAAAGCCCTTCTGCGGAGGACTATTATCCTCACGCGGGGGGGGGTGGTTATCATCAAGGATGGTCATTTCGGGGAAGACTCCCGAGAGCCTCACCATTCTAGGTATGATGAATATCACGCCCGGCGTGACCGCGAACCTTACGACCGGCGTCGGGAGGAGAAGAGATCGTTCGCGTTCTTCCCGCTTCCTCCTTGCCGCCGGCCTTCCTCGCGGTCCCCTACTCCTGGACCCACAAGCAAATCCTCTAGGTCCCGATCCGAGTCCGAATCCAAACCCGAACCTAAGCCGGACTCGAAACGTGTAGAAGGGGACAACACCCGCAAGGTCTCTTTCGCGGAACCTAAGCCCACTTCTTCAGGCAGTCGTGGAGCGTCCCCTGCAACTAAACCCGCCGTGAACGAACTCGAGGCTTGTAAAGGAATGATCAAAGAGCTCACCACTCAAATACAAGTCCTCGCCACTACCCTGAAGCAGCCCCCGGCCATTGCTCCCTTTCCTTATCCATTCTTTCCTAACTGCCGCCCCCCCCCCTGAACCGTTCTTCAAATCCTAATCAAGCTCTAGAATCGGTCCTGGAGCGCCTCGGGAGATTGGAGAAAACTTTAAACTCGAAGAGCGTCCGTTCACAGGGGGGAGCGGCGGGCGCCCTCAAAACCGATCCCTCCTCCTCTGTCGGCGAATTAAAAACCGCCCTTGCGGTTCAGGCAGAGACGGAGGAGTAACTATCGGAAGCCCGGTAGTAACCATTTTCCAACACGAATATTTCTTCAAGCCCTTTGAGATTCTTCTTGACTCTGGCTCCAATCGCAGTTTCATCCCCTTGGCGCCTATCAAGCTATCTTAGGTGACTCGTTCCTGGCCAAGAGTCAAGCCACGCTCTCATACTGGTCCAATATTATGGTATTAAAGAACCACGGGGTTCGGCCGATCCCCTTTAAGATCCGTAAGGTATGGGTGCAACGTACCCACGCCACGTCACCCGGGCCCCGGGTATTTTCCCGAAGCCCTCACCTTCGCGGCAACGAACAAGCGTTTCTCCTGGACACTGGAGCTGATGTGAGTCTAATTCGTCTCCTTGCTCTCTGGCCAGGCGTTCCCATTGACCTCACTCAACTGCTACGTCTTTGGGGGATTGGCGAGGACCATGTGGATACCATAGGAGTCGTCTGTCTCCGAATGTTCGGAGTAGACATCACTTTCCACGTCATTGACCTGGAAATCCCCGTTGAGGGGGTGGGAATCATCGGTAATAATGTGTTCTGCTAAGAGAAGGCCGAAATCTCCTACGCGGATCAGACCATGGTCCTTGAATCCGCCCCGGCCAACACCATTTACTTCTCTCGAACATGTAAACCTTCGAGTCAATATATAATCCCACCTCGATCCCGCATGGTGATTTCGGTACCCTTATTGGAAACCGAACTTACCGAGGGCTATTTGCCCCAGGTCAACTTGGGTAAGGGCCTGTTGCTGGGCGAGGCGGTAGTCGCCGTTTCGGGGATCAGCCTTTATTTCCCCCACTTTTCCACCTTAATATATATGATACTATAGTTTTGAATCTAACGTATATCTTATGCGCATCGCGTGCAATTAATGTTAATTTAATGTAACAATAGTAGTCGTTTGATTATAAATAAATAATTGTTATTAATAATTGGACTTAATTGTATGTTGGTTACAACCTGTTCCCCACATTCGGTGACCCCGACGTGATTTACGTACGTTTACGTTTATTTCGTTCAACGCGTGAGAAGCCGCCATTATCTACGTCTTTAAATTCATCGAGGAACAACAGCAGATATGACTAACGAGAATGATATGAATCTACAACAGGGCGAGACTGCACCTATGTCATCAGGACAACAACCAAATTCTGCTACAGGTACTGATCCTGCCATCAGCACTATTCAACGCCTGCAGTTTCCAACCTTTTGGTCTGAAGAACCTGAGCTGTGGTTCAGTGCGTTGGAAGCACAGTTTTATTCTCATCGTATCACTTCAGACGCTTCCAAAAGTAGTTTTGTGATCAGCAAGCTCGACCAAGCTACAATGATTCTCATTAAAGAGTTAGTTATTCATCCACCAGCTACTGACAAGTACAATGCGATCAAACAGGCATTACTTAACCATTATTCGCAGACCGATGAAAAAAAATTTCGTAAGATGATTACAGGCCTGTCTCTAGCTGATCGCAAACCTTCTTCCTTGTTGGCCGAAATTAAGTCATTGAACAATGGGAAGCTTGATGAACGCACCGTACGGATGATCCGGTTGGATTTCCTTCCACGGCAAATGCAGTTGACTTTAATTCCGTGTGAGACTTTGGATTTGGATGCTGTTAGTCAACTGGCTGACCGTATTTGGGACCTTCCACAGAGTCATCCCGCACAATTAGCAGCAGTAGAACAGGAGCCTAAGACTAACAAAGAAAGTTATTTAGAAGAAAAGTAACTCAGCTCCAAGAACAGCTTAATCAGCTCATGAAAAGGTTGTCAGCATCACACGATAGGTCAAGGTCGAGGAGCCGCTCTCGAGCTCGGAAATCAGGAGATAGCAAACTCTGCTACTATCATCGCAAATTTGGTGAGAAGGCTAGGAAGTGTGCATAGCCGTGCGAGTTCAAGGACAAGCAGGAAAACTAGGAAGTTTTATCGTCAGCGGCGGTGGCTGATGATGGTAATAAACCTCGTCGTCTATTTATCTATGACCGTGATACCGGACAACGCTTTCTTATCGATATGGGAGCAGAAGTCTCAGTCATTCCTGCTACCCGTTTAGATAAAACAATTGAATCGGATATCAAATTATACGCAGCCAATGGAACTCGTATCGCTACTTGCGGTTAGAAGGCTCTTAACCTCAACGTGGGTCTTAAACGTGCTATTAGATGGATCTTCAGAGTCGCAGATGTACCGTACGGCATTGTTGGTGCTGACCTACTTTATCGATACTGCTTGGTGGTCGATATTACAGATCGCCGGCTTATTGACATAGAAACTGGTATTGGAGCAGGCGGTAAATTAGAGCTCGCCTCCATTATTGGTATCTCTACTATAAACAAAGATGAGCCCTATGCACCTATTCTTAAGCAGTTCCCTGAAGTTTTTGGGACCACTATACATAAAGCTTCAGCAAAACATGACGTTGTGCACTTCATATCAACAACTGGACCTTCAGTCCATGAACGACCTCGACGACTGACAACCAACATACTAAAAAAAGCCCGAGAAGAGTATCAGTTCATGATTGATCAGGGTATTTGCCGCCCTTGTAGCAGTCCCTGGGCTAGTGCACTTCATATGGTGCCAAAAAAAGATGGCGATTAGCGACCTTGCGGCGATTATCGTCGTTTAGATCGACAGACCGTTCCTAACAGGTATCCTGTAGCTCACATCTTGGATTATACATCAATTCTACATGGGAAGAGAGTATTTTCAACGATCGATCTTGTCAGAGCATATCATCAAATACCTGTAAATCCCGAGGACGTGCCAAAACAGCTGTGATAACGCCTTTTGGCCTTTTTGAATTTTTAGTTATGCCCTTTGGGCTTTGTAATGCTGCGCAGACATTCCAGCGATTTATCAGACAAGTTTTGCAAGGTCTTGATTTTGTTCATGCTTATCTGGACGACCTTCTCATAGCTTCAGAAGATGAAGAGCAGCATGGCAAACACCTTAAAACAGTTCTTGAACGCCTTAGAGATTATGGTCTTACAGTTAAAAAAGAAAAATGTGTGTTTGGCGCCAAAAGTGTCCAGTACCTAGGGTATTTAATTACAGCAGAAGGTTCTAAGCCACTGCCTGATCGAGTCAAAGCCATCAAGGAATTCAAACAACCTCAAACCATTTCAGATCTTCGTCGTTTTTTTAGGGATGATAAACTTTTATCGTCGTTTCATCAAAAATGCAGCAACTCTTCAAGCTCCTCTTCATGCTCTCCTAGGAGACGTTCGTAAAAGAGACATGAGACCAGTTGAGTGGACAGACGAAGCCCTCAAAGCTTTTGAACAATGCAAAGCCAGTCTCGCTGAGACGGCTCTGATAGCTCATCCAGCACGTGAACCGCAGCTCCGGCTGACCACTGATGCATCTAATGTAGCAGTTGGTGCAGTTTTAGAACAACGAACTAACAACAATGAAGATTGGAAACCACTGGGTTTTTTCTCTAAGAAGTTGACACCAGCAGAGGTTAAATATAGTGTGTATGATAGAGAACTAACGGCAATATATCACGCTGTGAAATTTTCTAGACCGTGGATAAAAGGATATAATTTTGTAATTCGAACTGATCACAAACCTTTGACACATGCTTTTTCACAAAGGTCAGACAAGGCTTCGCCACGTCAAACCAGGCAGCTGAGCTTCATAAGTCAGTTTACTACAAAAATAGAGACTGTTAAAGGTGCTGAAAACATTGTAGCAGACACATTTTCAAGAATAGATGCTGCTAGCTCAGATCAACCACTTCGTTTGCCTACTATCATTGACTTTAATGCCTTAGCCGAAGCACAAGCTGCTGATCCGGAACTCAAGGATATCCTGAACGACGAAACGATCTCATTGAAGCTACGAAAGTTTACGTTTGGTTCGCAGCATAAAGTGATGTGGTGTGATGTTTCTCAAGAAGAATTCCTGGGGAATTTTTTACCCACGAAGATCTGCCATCAGATCCAAATATCTTTCTGGAAGAGTTTCGTATTCATATGCGAAAAGTGAAACCTGCGCCCGCAAGTCATCACTGCAAAACAAATACCTTTTGTTATAAAGATATTTATACATGTTCACATGTGTTCGTACGGCAAGACGCTCCCAAGCAAGGACTCGATCAACCATATGCCGGTCCTTTGAAAGTTTTAAATCGAGTCAGTGACAAAGTGTTTACACTGGATATTAATGGACGAGAATCTAATGTCAACGTTGAGAGGTTAAAACCGGCTCATTTGAGTACTCAGGAACTTTTTGGGTTTCAAGTACAGCCGCAAACATCAGCCAACGCTTCGTCAAGTCAAGCTACCTCATCGTCACTTCGTACATATCCTGGACCAAAGAAAAAAAGAGTGCAACTGCAATTTAAAGACTGTTAGTTTAAGAATCCTGTTTTGTCATTTCTTTTCTTTTCAAAAACTTGCGCCCTAACTCCGTTACTTGGAGGAGGGTACTTTGGGGATCAGCCTTTATTTCCCCCACTTTTCTACCTTAATATATATGATACTATAGTTTTGAATCTAACGTACATCTTATGCGCATCGCGTGCAATTAATGTTAATTTAATGTAACAATAGTAGTCGTTTGATTATTGTTCTGACTTCGAGTCGGCCGAATGAGCAAACTGAAACCTAGTGGACTGTATGAATTAAGAGCAGAATAAGAAGAAAAGGTTGGATGCTAGAAGGTTCAAAAATATAGTTTATTAACACAGACTGCTTGAGTTTTATAGTTTTTATTCAACAATAACACTTAACTTAAACAATGGAAATTCTTAATCACTGAGGTTAGGTGAATTGACTGTACATTAATTGTTCATACACTTCTGAGTTGTCTGATGGTTATTTTGTCACCAAATAACATAGTCTCAAAAAACAGTGAATAGCACAGTATACACCAGAGTTATTCGGGGGAGCGATGTATAGGTGAATGTCCGTGAGGCACTATGGCGTCGACGCCAGTTCAGCTTCGCGCCCAAAGACACTACAAACTGAATATACTGGACCACTTGCACTGATGAGAGTAATTTGATGATTCACGTTTCTTCGTGAGAGCTGTCTGAGTCTATTTGACCGTACGTTATTGTACAACGAGTGAGCTGACTGCAAAAAACTACGATTTGACTGCGAAAACTTGTACAGAGCTGACCGCGTGATTTGCCTGGAGCTAACTGACGCCACAAGTGCTCGACCGCGTGCTTGTTGGCGTCACTAGGGCCGTAGAGTTGCCTTCTGGGCCATGAGGGAAATACTTCCCGATGATTGGTCCAGTGAGTTGACTGAAGCGCCGGTGGACAAGTCCGGCATTACGAAATTTTGATTATTCCTGACTAACTGACTTGGGCCCCTCCAAGTCAGAACAATTATAAATAAATAATTGTTATTAATAATTGGACTTAATTTTATGTTGGGTACAACCTGTTCCCCACATCGTCTAGGACAACTGCGCCACCTGTCTGCTCATTAACACTTCCGACTCTTCCCAGGAAGTCGGGATTTCCCCATAGGAGCTCGAGGAGGTCACTTTCTCGGATGACGGAGCTACAGACACCGAGGAAGATGAGCCAGACGATCGCCAGGAGTTACCGCCCAACTGAGAGTCCCGTACTCGACTTGACATCCTTGTGAGGGAGGTCGAATGGCCAAGTCACCTCACCCCACAAGAACGTCAGCATGTCATTTCTCTTCTGAGCCGAAACCCCGATCTCTTTACTCTCCCGGATGAAGAAGTGGGCAAGTATAGGGCCAGGAAGGTGCGAATGCGAACCACCGACGACAAGCCTGTCAAGGTAGAGCAATATCGCTGGCCCCTGGAACTTGCCGCGGAGATTGAAACCCAAGTAAACGCCATGAAGGCCCAGAAAACCATTAAGCGCTCCCGTTCCCCGTATAACTCTCTACTGTGGATAGTCCCCAAAAAGGCCGACTCGAAAGGTCGGAAAAGATGGCGTCTGGTAATTCACTTCCACGCACTTAACAGAAAGATAATTGGGGATGCTTACCTTCTTCCTGATATAACCATGATCCTCGGCCAATTGGGGGCGCTAAATACTTCAGCGTCTTCGACCTGGCCAGTGGTTTCCACCAAATGGAATTGGACCCGGCCGATGGCCCGAAAACTGCGTTCTCCTCCCCCGGCGGACACTGGGAATACATCCGGATGCCGTTTGGTCTAATCAACGCTCCGGCCGAGTTCCAACGCATGATGGATTCGGTACTTTCGGGCTCGAAAGGCACTGAACTTTTCGTCTACCTAGACGATTGTTCATACCTCTTATCTCCAAGAACACGGCGTCCGAGTGCGCAGACTTTTCGAGCGTCTGCGGGAGGCAGGACTTACACTCCAGGCTTCCAAGTGCCGTTTCTTATGCAAGGAGGTCAACTACTTGGGCCACATTATCACCACGGATGGCATTAAGCCCGACCCTGACAAAGTTCCCGCGTTAAAAGCCGCCCCCCAACCCCGAAACCTTACCGAGATGAGAAAAATCTTAGGGTTGGGAAACTACCTGCGAAGGTTTATCCTCGACTATTCCGAACGAGTCAAGCCTCTTACAGACCTAACAAAGAAGTCAAAGTCCTATGTATGGACTCAGGAGGCCTAACTAGCCTTTGACGGCATAAAGGAAGCCTTGTGTAAACAAACCATGCTGTACCGTCCGGTCGGTAATGAGGACGAAAACCCAAGGGCCACCGAAGCCCCTCCTCCTGAAGAGCATCCACTAACCCCTCCAACCGCCCTTCTGATACGCGGCGGTAACCCAACGGCGTTACCAGTCACCAACGGTAACGGAGGTGAACCGAGAAAACGAGGCCGACTACCAGAAAGTAAAAACCGTCCCAGAGCGTCACAAGTAACCGACCCGATAGCGTCAAGACTTAGGAGACGCAAACAAAGACAACAACGCGAAGGGGGGAACACTGCAAGTCCGCAATCCACTTAACCCTCAACCAGCTCTTCCCACACAACTCCACCAAGCACCCAGCGTACAAGAGCTTCCAGACCAACCCCTCCTCCAGCAGTGATCGAGATGCCGAGCGCCGAGCTTTCAGACTCCGAGGAGAGGGGGGGGGGTGGAGACAATCGCTAAGCAGCCGGAAAGCGGGTCAGAAGCCACTTCGGCGCCCTCCCTGCAGCAAGCAACGCGGGTCCCACCCACTCCCGAACCATCAGGATCGGATACTGGGGGGGCCACGGCCCCAGAGGTAAACCTCCCGACGGAGCCAAATGACTCACAGACCTCACCGATTCCTCTTGACTCTTCTCGGGGCGTGGAAGACTCGGTGCTTAGCCGGGGCAGGAGACGAGTGCCGGTCCTAGTACCTTATCCACGTCTCCCCCCTTATCTCTCGTACATCGAGACTCTACAACCTTCCACTTCTACGCGCAACCTGCAGGACTCGCAGGCAGTTACAATAACCGTTAGCCGGGATGGACTCACGTATTCCCGGGATAACGTCGTCCACTTCCTCTCGGCTGATCGTGAGCTTGCTCAACCTGTCAGCAAGCTGTTACAAGCTGTCCACTACATATCCGTAGATGACCTCAAGGCGGAAAATCCCCCAGTGGGACAGGTCTTCACCACCCCTCTTGGCAAGCACAGAGTGTTCACGGTGTTT